GTGTTGTTGCATCAAGATGGCCAGACTTCCGGTGATAGATTTTCGTACGATGTTTTGTTTTCCCAATTTACATCCATTTCTAGGACGAGTTGCTCAATAATCATACACATGCAGTTAGCGCATGATCTATATTTTAAAAAACTGTCATTGGTATACATGTAGCATCATCAAGAAGCGATAAATTCGTGGTTTTAATTCCTCACTATTGATGCAACAACACCGCTCTGTTTCTTATCGATGATGCAACAACACCAATGTGCTGATGCAAAAACGCCAATATAATGTATCATTGAACAACAAGAGAAACTGTTTTATGTTCTGTTTACAGGTGTAGGTCGGGACATGAATAAAACGCGTGAGTCAGTGGTCCATGAACGAAACGTATTTTGTTTGGTTTCTTTGTCTATATCAAAGTTAAAAGGATATACAAGGCAAACTAAATAAAATACTGAATCCCCGGGAGGCAGTCTCATTGATATTGTATCTGAAAAATAAAGATTATACATTTTCTAAATTAAATGCCCTTGATTTACCGTATGGATATTGTTTACAAATAACTTATATAATTTTGGAAAGACAACAGATATCAGTCAGTTTGTGTTGCTAGTACCTCAAAATACTCAATTCTGATTGGTTGATGAGCGGTCAACAAAATGTATTGTTAGTACCTCAACAGAAATACTCGATTCTGATTGGTTGATTAGCGGTCAAAATTATGTACTGTTGACCGCTACTAGGTACTGTTGTAAACATTGATGAAAATGACTTTACTAGGCGACAAGTATAGCAAAAATACAAATAGAAACTTAAAATTAACATTAATTCACTAACGAGTACGCCGTGATGTGCCAAATACTGAAATAGATAAGCTACTTGCACTGTCTCCAGATTTTCTAAAAAAAATATTGCTAACGTGGTTCGGAGAAAAGGTTGTGAAATGAAGCCATGCCGATTGATGATTGTCGTCTATATGTGTATTAGTTTACTCAGACTAACAGAACAATTGTAGACCTCTCCATTAGATCAACCGTCAAAATCATATACCTCGACTGTAAACTTCGGTCTCTGTCAACAGTAGATTTTCGGTTTACAGCCTCGGTATACAATTTTGCCGGTTGAACTCTGGGGAGGTCAACAATTGTAAACTGTTGACCACTACTAGATACTGTTGACCGCAATTTTTGAAAAATTGTTTTTTAATGTTGAATTTTTTTTAATTTTGAAAAAATAAGTTGTGTAAAAAATTACAAGCATTCGACGGTTTGGGGATTTTTTGCTAAAATATGATACCTTTACTTATAAAATATGTTCACGTGAAATTCGATTATATATTCGTCCAATTATTATATTATTTGGACTAACAGAACAATTGTTAACCTCTCTTTTCGGTCAACTGGCAAAAATGTCCTCGACATCTGGTCTTGATCAACAGAACTTTCAAGGTTTACAGTATCGGTATACAGTTTTGCCAGTTGACCTTAAGAGAGGTCTACAATTGTATATTGTATATCCTTTGTTATCCCATCCAAAGTATGATGTCATATATCAAGTTGAAGAGTATACGCTGCTCAGGAGTTTACGCTATCCAGGAGTTGTACATCATTCTCAAGAGATGTATATAGGATGAGTGTTGGTTTAATGATATTGCAGTTATACAATGCTAATATATAAAGGTTATTTACTGAGAGGGATTCAATATTGGTTTTATTCCGAGAGACAATACCTTTTTTCTCAGTCGGAGAGAAGGAATCCAAAGAGAGCAATAATTCTACATGTGCGTCGTGCAAGATTTCCATTAAACGTGTAACCAAACGGCCTCTCTAATAAAGTCAATTAGTTGTTTTTACACGTTGGCTCTCCAAATTGGGGGAAATAAAGAATCATATCATATCATATCATAGATGAAGCAATCATCCCATCAACATAAGCTCACGAATGTCACAGTTAAACTGTTTTAGTTATAATTTGATAAACAGTGGTAACGTACATATACTAGTTTATACACTGTTCCATAGATGGATGACAGATGATTTCCAATAGCTCGTCATGTTTACCGAGAACGAAAGATGTTTGTCCACCATTTTGAATGATACTAACTGGAGTCAAGGTCATCAAGCTATGGAACAGTGGTTTATGAAAATAGATTGGGTTACTAAAGCTTGCCATGTTAAAGGCGATTGAACTATGTCATAGAACAACGTCCAGTACATTATAATATATAATATTATAAGTTTTTGAAAATACCTAATATAAAGGATCTTCGCCCGCAGGACGTGTATTTTGAATGCCTTGAGAAGAACGGAAATATGGGTAATGGGTAACGGTGTTGCAATAGTAGCATTTAAAAATCTGTTCCTCTCGAGATTTATGGTCTCCTGAAATTATACTATTAATTGGTGTTGCTGCATCATTGCTCAAATCTAGAGGAGTGTTGTTGCATCTTCGGTTTGGTGTTGTTGCATCAATAGTGAGGAACTAAAACCGTGAACGTATTGCTTCTTGGTGATGGTACATGTATACTAATGACAGTTTCTTTAAATATAGATCGTGCGCTAACTGCACGTGTATGGTTATTGAGCAACTCGTCCTAGAAATGGGTTTAAATTGGGGAAACAAAAATCGTACGAAAATCTATCATCGGAAGTTTGGCCATCTTGATGCAACAACACGGTGTTGTTGCATCACGATACTCCCCAGTGCGTGTACATCCATTTTGAAATTCAGCTGCCATCTTCACGAGCAGAGGTTCTACTCCCATAAGGCATAAGCATATAAAGAATCAAATCCTTCGAATGGTATTTGAGTTATTTTGAGTTATAGCTTTCCTCCCCCCTCGCACTTCGTTTGGTAGGGTAAAAAGAATGGGGTTCGTTTAACTAGTTCGTGACACTCAGCCATGGCCATGGACGTGTTACAAATGTTTTACTGTAGGATGCAGGATTTACTCTGATGATACGGGATATTTCCTCAGTTAACGTGCTTGTGTGGGAGCTAAAATGAGTTATAGAGTCCTACTTACCTAGGCAACTCAGCTCGGGTTCAGCTGACACCAACGCACTAAACTTAATTACAGACGGCTTAATAGAAAAATGCGTGTTTCCTCTTAATCAGGATAAACCAATACTTTCCGGGCGATTTTATCTGTAAGAAAGACTTATTTCAAATTTGCGCGTGGGTAATAAGACAAATTTCTTTATTGTCACATTTTTGAGGTTTCAAAATTGAATTATAAAATAGAAACCTGGCGTGGGCCACCACTTTGAATTAAAATTTCCAAGATCGCCGTCTCGATCTATTTAAGATTGTCAGTGTAGGATCAAAGGCAAAATAGTTACAAAAATTCAGATTCTGTACTTAATGCTTTATTGCAGACTAATAAAAATCCGATTGTGCAAATATGTGTACACAATGTGTGAAATATATAGTCACCGGTGACTTCTCTGTTTCATATTTTCTTCATTGTTCCAAAATCATGAAACAACGATGTAGATCATAGATGTAAGAAAATTATTGAAACTGTTTATAAGTATTTTAAATAATTACACGGTTAAGTAACTCATTATTACTGGAAATATATTGGTTGGTAATGGTATCAAAGGTTTTGTTAATGTAATGCATGGAAAATAGATAAAAAATTAATCTGCCCATGGACGTGATCAACGTGTAAACGTCGGTCCATTGTCTTAAGCTATCCCATGCATTAAAAAAGCTCACCATGTGAGCTAAAAACTATCGTTTTGTATTGAAAACAGGACCCTTTAAACCCTAAACAGTTTCGAGTCTTGTTTTAGCTTATATCAACGGTTTGTATTTTAATAATTGTTCTTATGTTACCCCTTGTACTTTATCATCATAATCATTGCAAAATTTTCAGAATGTCAAAAAATAACTAGAGCGAGAATGTATGTACCTTTAAAAACTTACACGAGTTAGATATTAAATGAACAATTAGAGATCCGTTACTTTCCAACTTCCCATTGGGTTTATTTAGCTAGCGACCATGACTATACGATCAATGCCCACTCAAGAGCGCCAGCCTATAAACATCTGATCGTTTTATATCGCTGTCATTTAGAGTAGAAATATCAAACTTCACTAGGAGAATCAAAACACCTCGAGCTAATTACTACATCAATAAATTCAATCATAAGTTCATTAATCTATAGCTATGGTTTTATTAATGCGCATCTTGGATCGTTACTAAATGATGAATTCCGAGGACAAACTATTTTTTAACAAGGGGGAGTGTTACGAAGAAACATAATTAAAATTCAAACACTGAGAATTATAGTGACAGATAATTGAGGTAAGTTTTTATTTCATGTTGTTTATTATCAAGATCCAGGGTCTAAGTGAAAATAAAAGAAACTGAAATTCAATATAACTATTAGATTACGTATATTGCATATGGACGATTCAAGTGAGATAATTGAGCAGTAAGATAGCCATTTAAATCTTTCGAATATACATTTTATACCCTGGTTGCATATGATCTACTTATTTTACTATGTTTAACACAGTCATAATTCTCAATACCCCACTGCTCTATCTGGAATTGTTGTAATTACGCCAATCCCGGTAATTAATTAAATTTCTCAGACGAGACCAAGTTGACGAACTATTTAAAGGCAGTAACTACTATTATATCTATTTGTTGTCAATCGTCACTACTGGAAAGTAATTTGGTTCTAGTGGAGGTCTAGAAATGGATTTGCGATATAGGTAAGTGAAAACATCCACTGATACTTTAAATGACTTTGAAATCAATCACAGTGTAATCACGGTGTGCTAAAAATATATAATAAAGGCGTTTCATTGCTGTTTTATATTTTTAGGCTGGAGAATTGTGTCTGTTGACAAAGAAAGGAAGATATAACCAAGTGGATTATGACAATTCATTATTCTTAATCCCATACACGAGTACAGTGTTGACATTAAGCCTATAAATGCGGGCAATTTAAAACCCACCGACGCAATCTGTGCATCAACTTTATAGGTATGAAATAAAAAACAATCTCTGGTATTTGTATTCTAAACACAATTCTACGACATTCCTAGTTCTCAAGTTGCATTAAAGAGTAAAGAGTACGTAGGACATCGTAAAGGTGCCGTGTTAAAATATACCACTATTTTATATACTCGTATTGTACTGAGAAGCAGGACATGTGGGACCTAGAAAGAAGAAACTGTAACACATTCTAAGAAACATGGATATAGTATCAGCTTTACCCGATTAATTAATAAATGCATTTGTACCGGAATGTCCCATTACTTTCATCAAAATAAACAAAATTGTTAAGAAAGCTTTCTGCAGTCGTCAACGTAAACGGAGGATTTGAGAGCGACACAAAGGCCGAATAGAACAAGGTTATTTGCGAGGAACGTTTACAAGACTAATGTCCCAGGTCGACGTGTTAACATTGAATATTGCGGACGACGTCTTGAAGGAATATTCACTTCACTTTGTCGAGTTGCACGGCATGCACATTCGACTTCAGGCTCTGGTAAATACATATTTTTTATGCTTTATTAAATTCGATTGATATTTGATTTTTGACAGATGCGTATCATTGTGTGATTGGTTCAGTAATGATAGATGGTCAGTCATCGGGTCACTAATGAAGCGATTCGATTGGTCCTTGGGATATCAATGTGTGATTGGTCAAAATGTAAGTGCCTGAATGGTCATAACAGTGTGAAGCAACTTGATTGGTCAAATTGCGAGTGCTTGCTCATACGTACGTGTGAAGTGATTTGATTGGTCTAGTGGCATTGATGCTCGCTTGCTAAGTATGCAAATATTTGGTACATACATAGTAAGCTACGACGGTGACGTTGGACGTAATGTAAAGGAAGTTTTATAACGAGTAAATACAGGATATGGAGTTTTTATTTAGATACATACCGCTCAATTACGTTGATCTTGAAAAGTAAAGGGAAATTATTTGGTATTAGAAGTTGATAGCTCCACCGGCTGCGTTGGATAATGCTGTAACAAGATAAAATCCTTGAGGGTTCAATAATTATAAGACACCAATAGATTCAAAGCTCTTGTTTGTTAGGTGTTCATTCAATGCACTCGCCATGGAGTCCTCATGATTGAAGTTTGTAATCGTAGTCTCATGCCATTCTATAGCAACCTTCATTTTCCAACCTGTGTCTCCCACGGTCTTTGTCTATTTTTCAGTCGACATCCATGTGTTATTTGGTGATGTTCGGTGCTGTACTGGTGTTTGACATAATTTAATTGACGATTTGCGTCAAGTATGATTATTGCTGATAATGCATGTATCCCGGGCATGTATATTCAACTTGTATTCGCAAATGCAACTAACGCCTGTCGACTACCGGATTAACCTTCCATTTTATGGGTAACTCATTTAAATATTTACAGTACTTGCCACTATTCCATTCATATTTTAATGAGTTGGTCATAAAATAGTAGGTTGATCCGCTAGCCGTCAGCCCTTAGTTGCATTCGCGAATACAAGCTCAGTTTTATTTATCTATTTGTCTAATTTTCATCATTTTTAAGAAACAGCGATGCAGATGCCGTATAAAACCATGATAACTAAGAACAGAAAACATTACAAAACTAGAAAATGTGCCTTATACGAAAGCATAATCTCAGTGGCATTGTGGAGTTGAAGCGGTAAAAATTGTTGAATTTTATTTTAAAGTAGTTTTTCACACCCATGTGGTTTGACAAACAGCTCGGTATACATAGTCACAGTAAAGGTCAAATGATTATTTATAGGTGTATGAACAGGTAGTTTAGAGAATACAACACCAAGAAAATGCATGCTGGTGGCTCCCAGAGGGTATACACATTTTTCACCAAGTGCTTTTTTCATCTCCAATCAAATTGCAGGATTCGATCACGTGACGATCATGGGCACATGCTCTCTCAGTGCTGCGCATGCGCAGAGTTACATTTGAAATCGTGGGAATGGCGTTTACATCAGTTCAACATCGTCATTTCAAACCTACGGTAATACTATTGAAGTTACTCGATCCATACTTGTAAAGAATACTCATAAAACTACAGTGAAAATTTGGAGATCCATTTCAACGGCAAATTGAGGCCTGTTTATAAAATTTGTTTTCGAACGTGCTAATATGATAGGGCATCTTTGGGGAATCTCCCCCCTGGCCAACATGGTAAAATACCGAATGGCGAAAAAAGCGAACGCATTCCGTTCGGTCTTTGCACGCGATTGCCGTTTATGTCACGCATTTGGTACAAAATATGTGTATATATCACTCATTTGTTTCGAAAATATTCACATCTACTATATATATTTTGCAAGTGGATCCAAGAGACCAAGTGGGCAAGTCAATTATTTTGCAGGGGTGGCATGATACACAGATTTCAATTTTGTATATAGTGAATTCCCAGTGATTGATTTCAGTACAGTAAAACTGTCATAGTGAACACCTCTTTAGTGAAGATCTGTGCCCAGTGACATGCCTCTACTCTATTGAACACCTGTGTATATTATAGTGAACACCGATTCCGTCCCAGCCAGTGAGTTCAGTACAGTAAAAATATCCTAATGAACACCTCTTTAGTGAAGATCTGTGCCCAGTGAAAACATGCGTCTACTCTATTGAACACCTGTGTATAGTGAACACCAATTCCCAGTACAGTAAAACTGTCATAATGAACATCTCTTTAGTGAAATACTGTGCCCAGCGAACATATGAGTATACTCTATTGAACACCTGTGTGTAAGCGAACACCAATTCCCAGCCAGTGATTTCAGTAACTTTTAGAGGGGATTGTACCTACAGTAAAATCTGTCTAATCCAAGGGACCAGCTCAGAGCGTTCGGATTAGGAGGTGTTCACATTTTGAGGTTTTGCATTTGCAAGATTTGGGTTTTTGAAGAAATAGAAACAAATTCTCAATAAATATTATAGTTCTTTTGACAACTTAGCTTTGGCATTAGAGTGACATGAAAATCTGATTCAAATGAATTTAGTCATCCTAGAAAGCCCCACCATGAGTGAGATCGTTCAAGTTTTTTTCAAATATTTGATCAATTTATGGAACATGTGATATTTTATGTGTTCAGATTAGATAGGTTAATTTTCAAACATGACTGTTCACTGTCAAAATTGGGAGATGTTCATATTTCAAGTTTTTTAAACATTTGAGTCAATGGGAGAAAAAACGGACCAAAAAATGTTCAAATTGGGAGGTGTTCGGATTAGCCAAGTGTTCAGATATACAGGTTTTACTGTACTACAATTGTTTTCAATCTTTTGGAGGAAAGTGTACATCATTCCAGAGAAATGACAGATGCACTGTATATACAGTGATCGCCTACTATTAAAAGTGCGTGATCAAAGACTTGACAAGATGCGCAAAATTCAAATATTTAGTAACGGTTACTTTTAAAAGATTTATTTGTGTTTATATTACAGGCTACTGGTGATTCAATTAGGTTTTGTAGGCACAAGAACACCCATATGCTTTGAGAAATATATATTAGTTTGACCATTTTTCGTATATGTTATTGATTTTACAATTTAAAGATATAAATGCGATACAATATGTGTTATTTTATTTAAAAAGCTTGAAAATATCAAAAACAATAGAACATTTTTACTCTCTTTAATTTTTTTTACTTAGGTAGGGTCTTGGACTTCCATTTGACCATGATGAAATTCACGTTTCCCCTTCAATAACATGGAATAAATATTTTAACACAGAAACGAATGGATCAGCCAATAGCGTGAGTTTCAGCAAACCATACACCCATATCTATATGCTTTTCAAGAGAAGAAAATGAGGATCTCGCAAAATGTATGTCCAAACTGATTCAGTCAATTAAATGGTCACTGTGTGTGTGTTCATTTTGTTTTTCTGCCTAGATTTGAATACATTACCATTAAATGATATATACACTGAACCTCTAGAACCTGCTCAGTGAAACACCTCTTGAAGCGTAACACCTTACAAGTGGAACCGTTTTTTAAGTTCCATTTTAGTCCATTTATTTTACGCCTCTGATCCCAAGGTATGAGAACTATACACCTTGGCATCCAAGATGATTGTCGAATTGTAATGTAATTGTAATTGTAATAAAATATAAAATCTGAATTGTACATTATCTATTTCATTGGGGAGTTAAATCATTCTTTTGCAGCAAGGTATCAATAAGTAATGTAATGACGTAATAACCTTCAGTAGATCCCAGTAGTCAGTTCCCAGTTTCACCACGAGATGGCTAACTTGGGTCATATATAAATGACAGGTATAAGGGAAAACTCCTCTAAGGTATTCAATATTCAGTAGATTTATTGATCAATTTTCAACTAAGGTCTATAAGTGATTAGCTTGAGAATTTTAGAATTGTATGTAATCGAATGCAAAATAAACGACCAGTGAGCGTTTTTAGAGAAACTCTACAAAATGTGAAATAAATACCATGCTATTATCTCTAATGACAGAGTTATGTGGATCGATGGGACCGAGTAAAAGTTCCAGTTTAGGCTTTGCTCAGAGGGGTATCATCTCAGATTAACTGGTGGACACTATTGGAGAATGAGAGTCTATTGTAATTTCAGAATCATTTATTGTCATTTCATTACTAATTGATATTCTCGTTCTATTGCAATTTCATTGGTAATTTTATTTGATTTTGTAGCAGTTGTTGAATCAGAGATTCTGGATGATTTCATTCGATTATTGTCAATCACTGAAATTGTCATGAATTCATCACTTTCTACAAGTATGTGTTTATTTATTGATTTCACTTCATTTGGTATTATTCCAGAGAAATTTCTTGTTATCATTCTAGATTTGCCTCTATTTTCAGTAATCTTTCTCATCTTCATCTCTTCTTCTTCATGATGTTCTACAAGGTGGTTTATAATGATTTGAAATTTAGGAGTTCGTAATGAAGGACAGTAAAATCATGTAAACCCAACCACTCTTAAATGCAAAGAACATATCATTAGAATCCACATGGTAAAATCACCCACTTGGCTGATCATAAATTGTTTTCATAACATCCTTCTTACTCGATACTGAAGGGGAGTTGGAACGTCTGATATGCATGTAATGTTAAGTATTATGTATATTAACCATAAGCATGTTGGTTTTGTGGTTTTGGTAATCTAAAAACAGAAAATTTGGTGAAATATACATTTTCATTCGGCAGGTTTTTTGATTTTGCTTCATTTATTAACTCAGTTCAGGTATTTCGGTTGAACCAATCACCGAATCCTGTTACCAAATGAATCTTGAGTCTCTTATACAGCATATGGAATACCATCTGTAGGTAAAATGTCATTAAGGTGGTAAAGAAAAGAGAAACAAACATACCTTTCCTCCGACATTTCGAATTTTCCACATCTTGTCGAGTCTTTGATCACGCACTTTTAATAGTAGGCGATCACTGTACATACAGTGAGGTGACACACTGTTATGGGAACTGGTCATATCAGATGTTCCCACGCTTTTCGTCCAGAAGAGGTCATTTCCCAGGATTAT